CTTTGGGCTTTTATTAAGCCTTCTTCAGGGCTCTACAAATATATATTAATTTCACTAGTTTTCGTGGTCCGCGTGACTAGAATGCTTGAAAAATGGCAAAAAGGAGGGAAAAGTCAAAAGGTGGGGTGCTCAAGTGGTAGGAGCAGGGGTATCTAGCCGAAGATCGTGGGTTCAAATCCCGCTCGTGCCATTGACTTTTTTATCTCAACTAAAAACCTTAATTAATTGTAATAATTGTATTAATTGGTCAAGCGGACTACAAAATTAGTGAATTTAATTATTTGAAACTTTAATTTTTTTAATTATTTTAATTTTATGTCTCGTTTTTTCTTTCAACGTTCAACTGCATACGATTCTATATAACTAAATACTTGCTAATTACAAAATTATTATTATTATTAAAATAACTCTTTATTGTTTCTTTATTAACGGAATATAACTATCTAATCTAAATACTTGCAAATTACAAAATAGGTCTCGACCTAAATTTGTGATAAAGTTTTTAAATAAAATGATATTCATTCATTTTTTCTCTCTCTCTCTCTCTCTCTCTCTTTCTGTCTTTCTCTCACTATCTCTCTATCTACATACAATTCTACATATCTGAATAGTTGCTAATTTTAAAATAGGTCTCGACATAAATTAAATAATTAATAAATAATAAGATAAATATTTAAGTAAAATGATATTCCTTTTTTCCTCTTTCTCTGTCAATCTCAATCTCTATCTATCTCTCTCTCTATTTTACTTTTGTTCTCTCTTTCTCGTTTTTTAAATTATTTTATGTGGTACATTACTCTCCGCTTATAGCACTACTTGAAATAACAACGCTCATTTGCTAAAAGATAAAAAAATATATGACATGTTTTATCATGCTTATGTTTCTTTTTACAGTTCATATTGCACTTCATTGAAAAAATATTTCTTCCTTCTAACTTTCCGTCCGGTTCATTGCGGTTCGTTTAAAAAAATACGAACTTTATCATTACCTTATTTGGTCACTTCATCCACTCAATATTTTCTTAAGCTGTTTGCCAAAATAATCACAGAATGGCAATTAAAACCGTCAATCGTTAAAATTTTATGTTTAAGTAGAAGGAATAGAGTTTAGCTTTTATACAAGTCAAGATCAGATTGGTTGGTTGCAATTTTGTCGGTAACAAATTTGAGATGCTTAGGGCAATTACGAACAAGCGGTATTTATCTTGTTGCTGTTTTTCTCTGTTACCCCGAAACGACTACATGCTACAACTTTTTTTTTCAATGCTTGAAAGTTGTCGTTTCATTCATCGTACCGAGCCTACTTTGTACCCTTCGTTTTTCGAGATTGACCTCGATTGCAACCTCATTCCAGAATTCCAGAGGCCGCTTTGTCCACCACGGATGATATTCTAACTGTAATGTCACATTTGAAATTATTCAGCCGGTCGGTTTGCAAGTCGTCATGACTTCTAATCCGCTGTTGACTGAAAAAGGGAGAAACGCATCTGGCCGAGAACAAAGCGTGGTCGCAACCAAAGATGATGTGCCTTCTTGATACTTTCCAATTATTTACAGCGTTTTGGATCTTTGGTCCGCCTATCTACGGTGTTCAGGGGTCAAGCGCGGTTAGGGTCTCCGGTCGTTGTACTCGACTTCAGTACTCGCGAATTATGCAGCTTCCTATTGAAAGTAAAACTGGGATGTGGATAGGTCAGGATTGTGTGCCGACGTTTCTTTCCATTCGGACAGATTTCATTTTTAAAGAGTTTCGTTAGTACAGTCATGTTTGGTTTCTGGGAAAGTTGTGCGCCCGCGAATTTGGAAGCCGGTTAATGGTAAAGAGCGAACTATAAACGTTTTTAAATTTTCCAATTAGTTTTATTTTCGCCACGGTTTGATATGGTGTAATTTATATTAACTTGTGTTACGGCTTCGAGGAGATTCTGGGTTAGGTGTGAAACGTAATTGGAGTGATCATCATTATCTGTTTATATATTATATAATTCTTTTAAACCATTTTTCCCGTTCCAGTTGACATCCGACTAGTAAATTGGATTTATCAAGAAGAAAATGCAGTCATTTTAAGAAGTATTTATGTGTAGTGTGTACAGCATGGTGATTTACTACTCACTACTACTACTTCTTACGTCCAAGTTGGCCAGGTGCTTCAAAACCTCACATTTTTTTTTTTTAAATTATCTACATTTTCATAATAAAACTACTTGCAGCTTTAGAACTATTCATTTTCTAGGATTACCTGGAATTTTTCTAAGTTAAATTTGTGTTCTAAAAAGTCATTATTATTGTTCTTTTTTTATTTATGTTTAGTGTACACATTTTGCCCTGTTTTCCTACCTTGGTTGTTTGCATTTTGTTTCATTTTTCTTTCCTTTTGTATTTTTTTACATCTACTGTACTGTTGTACTTTTTGTCTTTGTTTAGTGTACATGTTTTGATCAATTTTTCTGCTTTGGTTGTGTGCATTTTGTTTCATTTTTCTTTCCTTTTGTGCTTTTTTACATCTACTGTATTGTTGTACTTTTTGTCTTTGTTTAGTGTACACATTTTGTCCTGTTTTCTTACCTTGGTTGTTCGCATTTTGTTTCATTTTTCTTTTCTTTTGTGCTTTTTTACATCTACTGTATTGTTGTACATTGTCTTTGTTTAGTGTTCACATTTTGTCCAGTTTTCCTACCTTAGCTGTTCGCTATGTATATTGTTTCTTTTTATGTGTTTTGATTCATATTTCTTTCCCTTTTTGCTTTTATCTTAATTTAAAGTTGGGAAATAAACTTTGACCGGCAAAAATTTGAATTAGTAGATTAATCCCACTCCCACTTTTTTCACCTTCAACATTTTTTTTCCAAATTAACAAAATTTCTGCATTTCCTTTCGACATAATTAAAGAAAGTGTTTCCCGCTAGAAAGTTTATTAAACGAAGAAGTTCTTATGAAATTTGTAAATTTAGTTTTGTTTATAAATTTTAAATTTGGCAGTTTTTGTAAGATTTAGTGTTTGTTTTTATCAAAAAATTAAATTGAAAGTTTAGAAGAGTGGCTTCTTAAAGAAAATTTAACTCAAAAAATGAACAGTTCAAGAGATACGAGTAGATGGTGTCAGGGGGCACAGTTCACTCAGTTCACTATATTGGGGGCCCGGCCTCATCAGTGGGTCATTTAGCGACGTTCGTTAGCTTCCCGCCGAGCCGGTGACTGGCTTCTACTTGGGTTAAGTCCGTCTAGCCTTGGCTTCACATTCGCCTGACTTTTCAACACTTGTAAACGAGCAGGGATAATATATTTCTTTTCAATCAAATTGGCCCAATAATTTCCCAAGTTTGTCTCGCCGGTACTTGAGACCTCACAACCTCGTACCAGAGCTTGGGGAAGTCAATAGTTTCTTTCGATCCACGAAAATAAAATTGTATAAAAAACAACTAAATTCATTGATAAAGGTCAATACCAAATAAAGTTCAATTTCAATTCAATCGTTTTCTATTTAAAAAAACGTTCGGATAGCAGTATCAATATTCCGCTTAAAAATAATAATAAAAAATAAAATATATTTAAAAATAAAAAGTTAAACTCAAATTGATCTGTTTCATTACCTTCAAAGAATTTTTTTTTAAAGATATTTATTTTATTTATTGCTATCTGTAATAATATACATTGAGCAAATAGTTAGTTATAAACTAATCTGACAGACCTGAGATCTAATCAGACCAGGAGGCAGTGGGGAGAGAAACCAAGTTTTATTTAATTGGGGGGGGGGAGTAAAAGTTAATTCGGTGGGTTAGATAGAAGGTCACGAGGCCATCGTCGTTTTAAACGGCGTGGAGGGTGAGATGTTGAGGAAAGAGTTAGGGCTAGCGAGTTAGGATGGAGGGAGAGTTTAGAGTGAAAAGTGAAGAAGCGCGTATGGATAAGATCTTTCACGAAAGGGATTTTAAGATCTTTATGGATCGTTTGATTTGTGACGTAGACGGGAGTATTGAGGATACGGCGGAGAACTTTAGATTGAAAAGACTGAATTCGTTGGATATTGGATGATTTGGCCGAGCCCCACAGCTCGACTCCGTAGGTCCAAATAGGTCTGATGAGTGTTTTGTAAGCGGTTAGTTTGTTATGTATGCTTAGTTTTGATTTTGGTCCAAGAAGGTGTCTGAGTAGTCCATATCTTTTGTTAAGTTCTTGCCGTTTTAATCGTGTATGTGGGTTCCAAGTAAGTCTACTATCTAAGTAAAGCCCAAGGTAGCGGACTTGGTTCGATGGTGGTATTATTTTGTTGTAAATGTGCACTGGTGGACAGGTTTGTCGTTTGAGCGTAAATGTAACGTGTTGGCTTTTTTGTTCGTTTAACCTCCGCCACAGATTGCACCAGTTAGTAATAAGGTTCAGGTGTTGTTGGAGTGCTTCTGTTGCTTGGAGTGTGTTGATAAGATTGCGGTGTCGTCCGCGTAGGTTGTGATTTGTGTGTTTGGATGTGTGGGTATGTCAGTAGTGTAGATGGTGTAGAGGATTGGGCCTAGGATACTTCCTTGCGGAACGGCAGCTTTGATTGGTGAGATAGGTGAAAACTCGGTGCCGATTCTTACTTTAAACCATCGATCTGAAAGGAAGGATTTCACGATAAGGTAGTAGGCCTGAGGCAGGATACATTTTAACTTATAGAGGAGGCCGGGGTCAAAGGTCAAATGCTTCCGTAACGTCCAGAAATACGGCTGAGCAGTATTGTTTGTTTTCTAGAGCCGAAGAATTAAATAAAAAATAAAAATTAGTTTCAATTAAGGTTTTTAGTTGAGATAAAAAAGTCAGTGTCACGAGCGGGATTCGAACACCGCTCTACCACTTGAGTAACGGCGTATCTAGCCGAAGGTCGTGGGTTCGAATCCCGCTCGTGACACTGACTTTTTATCTTAACTAAAAACCTTAATTAATTGAAAGATATTAATTGGTTAAGCGGACCACAAATACTAGTGAATAAAAATTACGTTATGTTGTAACAATTGCAAACAAGACGTCGGTTCATGACACTATCGTAACATGTTCTAATTGTTAAAAAAAATCATTTTACGCGGAGCCGGCTTAAATCTCGTGACATTTGGTTAGACAGTACAGAGGAACGAATTTGTTGATGGCTGAAAATATGAAAATAACTAGAATCCACGAAAATCAGAAGAAAACAAGCCAGGAATAACGTCCGTACGAATCAAATTTCACGACGACATGAATAAACTGATTTGTTTAATAGAAGGCCTTATCGCCTGCTCATCGATGAGCCCCGGGTGCCACCAGACCCAAATGACATCCTTTCAAATCCTTAAATAAAATCCTTGTTTCACTTGCCCTTTCTAAAATTGCCTCGACACGTAGATTCCGAAATAGACACAACATACCCAGACTCGGGAACGAACTGCCTCGATCGATAATTGCTTTCCTCAACGCGTTGTACAAAATTAGCTAGAAAAACGAGATTTACTCCCTGAAATTTTTTGCTACAACCTAAAACAACATAAGTAAAAATAGTAAAGGAATTATGTATATCACATATGTTACTGGAAGTAATAATATGTTTGTCATATTGTCGATCACCTCCACATGAAATTTTTGAACAATCCAACCATTTTACAGATTAAAAAGAACCTTTTGTTTTTAATGTGTTTTTATTTTTTATGTTTGGATTCACTTCTTGCGACCTCATTTTCTTTTTCCTCGTTTTCTTCTGATGAAGTAGAATCTTTTGAGTCGGTGGACGACGGTGACGGCGTTTTGGTTACGGGTTGCGGCTTCTCGGGTTGCGGCTTCTCTGGCGGTGTTCCCCATCCCGCACAAAGTGAACACAAGGCACATAAATCGCTCAAGCAACAGGCTAAAATGACACATTTCGTTTCAAACAGGACGAGAATTAAGAAAAGGATACCCACGAAATAGATGCCGATTTTGACTGTTTGTTTTGCCCTGACGGAGCAAGAAGCAGTGTACGCCGACTTTACGGAACAACTACCTGATGTCTGGCCGCAACAAGACGGTGGTAGTTCCTTTATTTTCCACTCTTTAGGGCCGGACATACCGCAGCATAACAGGACCGACTGTAGTTTGTCTATTTCCGCTTTGTGCTCGTCATAGGTTCTGAACTTTTCCTCTAGTGTCTTATAGAGAGCCTGTTTGATACTTTCCATGCGCGAAAATACAGCAACGCCGACCACGATTTGTGTTACGACCATCGCCAACATCAGACATGCGTATATTTGGAGCAAGAGGCTGACGTGGCATATCAAGCCGACCAGGCCGATGGAAGCTATAACGAAAAGTACAAACCCCAAGCTGATAAAAGTCCTTCCTATATGAATATGATCTTCGAGGAAAGCGTCAAGAAAGACAACTTCGTTCATTTTCTTCCTCCCGAGTATAATCATGCCGACGCCTATCATCCCAGTGATTAATGTTGCGATTAAGAGACACAACTTCTTCATCAAACACATTATCGTCTTTAGAGATTCTCAAAACAAACAAAAAATAATATTAAAAAATGAATCGTTAATACTCGCTAACTCATCAAACCAAAAAAATTTCTTTTTAAAAGCTTCATAGCTGTTTATTTACTATAAAGACCATATACACATGTTACTTAATGTACGAAAAGGTTGTTATAAATATTAACTTTTATGGTAATTTTATTGTCAAGTGTTAACAGGGGTTCACAATGGGACATCCCCCTGGATATTAAAATGTTTTTGAAAAAAGCCCATTGAGTCCTTCCAATTCAGGGTTGCTGAGCTTCGAACCCATGGCCTTCCAATGGTAAAGTCGAACTCCGGACATAGGCAAAAAAATTGCCGGTCCCATTTAGGACTGTCAGCGCTATTTGTTTCCGAAGTGAGATTCTGTAAGCGTGATATTGCGTCTATTCCCATCTCCACGCAGGTACTGAGAGCGTTTTATTGCTCGAATACTTACTTTTTTTTAAGCAAGGTGATATAACTCTCACCGACCTGAATATGCTCTCGCAAATCCAGCCCAAAATATCTTATATATTTTTAGTGAGATGAAAATTCCTATTTCAGGGTTTTACAGGGTACTTAAAACAAATCCAAATTGGTTTTTACAAAAATAATTTTTTGGGCCTTTATAAATTATCATTATCAATTATAAAAATACGCTAATTTATGTTAACGTTTATATTATTTAACATATTTTATATTTATTTTATTCATATGATTCGACGTATTAGTTTCTTATCATACGTAAAAATAAAAATATATATTAACCTTGAAATAAATGCACAACGAAGGCAGAACGCTATATTTTATAAAATGTACTTAAATTATCTAAAAAAAATTTTTTCTCCTACAGCATAGCAACATCGCTTGGACACTTAGATGATTTTTATTAAAAAAAAGTTTCATCGAAATCTGTGTGTCATGATCATTCTTGACACCTTAAAACTAGATGATAGCATTTGATTTGTCATTTTTTAAGGATGCCACCAAGTGATTTTGAAGACCTTTTACAAAAAGTTGGGGGCAAGTTATGTAAGAAAAAAGAATTTTAAAAATTCTATATCGCCAACCGACAGGCTAGTAAACCGGCGTTAATTTATTATTAGGATTAATCAATTATTTACATTTTTATTTATAAATCGTGAGATGCGGTCTGGTGTGATGTAGGTTTCAGAAAAACATTTTCTTTATCGTGCCAACGTTTCGATCTTTATTGAGATCATCTTCAGGGCTCAAAGTGNCCCTGAAGATGATCTCAATAAAGATCGAAACGTTGGCACGATAAAGAAAATGTTTTTCTGAAACCTACATCACACCAGACCGCATCTCACGATTTCTAAGTAAATATCGATTAACGGTCACTAATCACCACACATTAACATTTTTCCTAAATGCACGGAGAAGATTCGACTGGAGTGTCCAACAACGGACTGAGTATTCCGCGTTCTCCATCCACGATGGTCTACAGCGGTTTAGGTCTACCAGACTTCTCGATCGAAGAGAAGGTAGTGGTCGACATCGATGTACGACTCTCTTACCGCACTCCGAATGTCAGTTATGGTCTTCCTTGACAAGTGGTAGAAAGCCAATTCCAAAAGGTTTGGAGCTCTAAAACAGTAATCAGAAGGCTTCTTGAGAATATGGACGCCATGCATTAGGTTCTGTACTGGAGAGGCATCGAGTGACTATTCGCAAATCAGCATCTCGCTGTACATTTGAACAATGGGGTGCAAGCTGTTCTTTTCACAGATTTATGCCGTTTTGGTTTGAGGCAATCAGATGACCGTGATGTTGTGAAGAAAACGTGGATAACTCTGTTCTTCATATTTCATGCGTGAATCACGGTCTTTTAAAGTCAGGTTTGGTATGGGGGGCCCGTACCAAATTAATTCATATGGAATGGCTCTTTGAGGCACTAAGGTGCATTGAAAAAGTTCTTCTGGAAGCCGTGGCCCCATTTACTCCATTTATTGGGGACAACTTTGTATTAATGCATGATAATCGACAGGTCATCCAGTGCATGGCGGGTGTAGGGATTATGACATTGTTTCCCGTACACTCGGTACCTACTGCGAAACAATAGAAACCTACTGCGGCCTAGAAGCCTGCCACGAAAGAGGATACATCTTAAAATGGATCCTTAATGAGTCCAAAACCTTGTGGAACAATACGACAGGTATGAGGCACGCGAAGAGATTCATTGAAGGATTCCGAAAAAATTAAAAAAGAATTTCTGGCAGGCGACCGTAACCGAATCAGGATTATGGTTGGACTCCTGACTGGGCCTGCTTTCCCATATACTCGGTCGTTCTTAAAAGGAAAATGAGGAATTTAACGTCCGCACCTAGCCTTTTCGGCATTATCGGATGTTTTGATTCTCAGGATGAGAGCTGACACACCTCCACATACGACAGAATGGTGTTACTGCCGCGGCATTGGTGTAGCTCGTTAAAGCTGTAGCTCAGCCCGAAGGCGCAAGACTACCTCGCTCCCTGCTTGCCCATTCCGAGTGGGCGGGTCTGTATTAAGCATCAGATCGTATGCCGCGCGCATAGGGCTACTTAAGCCGAAAATACATCGCGCACTCCCTAGGTAGAGAAGGCCACTCTACCTCCCAGAGTATTGGGGCTTCTCTAGCCTAGAAACTACCGGATCCGCTCTGGCCGCGGTTTTGTTTAAAGTGGAATTGCTAACCACTCCTAGAGGAGTACCTCCTACGGGAAAGGCCTCCAATCGAGCTTAGCCTACACCCACGTGCAAAGCATACTCCAGTAGGAGCAACCGATTCACTACCCGTTCCCATCCGCCACTACTCATGCATTCGAGGGACTTTTCAGCACAATCATAGCGTCCTCAACGCCTATACGCTGCCATCCGATCCGCCGTATCCCGTGTATAACGATGGTCATACGCAAGTTTCGTGCGAAGGTCAAAGACAGTCTCTTCTCTAAGTTCACGCCAGGAGTGTTCCCACGAACCACTACCAGTTCATTCCTAGTGTAGCAGGGGCTGAACTTAGGAACATTTCTGCTACCCCGTACAGATGGTTATGCACCCTCCCCCCGTCTGTGCAGACAGGATTTGGTACTCTAACCCACGTGGGCCTCTGGTAATGTACCAGCCGCCCCCTGCCGGTCCAGAGGCCGACACGAGTACTTGCGTTTTAGAGGGGTTGCCACGCACTCAAGGCTACACCATTATGTTGCGCCTGGACACCCCCCTTGTAACCAACGGTTGGGAGAGGTCGCAAGGAAAAGAAAGAAGTCACCTGGAGTGAGAAATGGACGAGAACGAGAACACGAGGAGCACCTTTTCAGGACCCCGAGCCTTGTCCACACTGTACCACCTATTGTCAAAAATTGAAAATTGAAAGGGATTACGACAAGGAATTGACCAGCATGATCTCCTGACATATAACCCATAAAACATATCTGGACATGATAAAGTGAAGGGTTAGACATCATTCGCCGCCTCCAACAAGCGTTGAAGAATTTCAAACCGCTCTACTTGAAGAAGGGGATTCTGTTTTCCAAGAAGACATCCGGTCGCTTATTTATTCGATGTCCAGGAGGACCACCGAGAGGCCAAAGGTAATCCGCATTGTTAAGAGCAAAACTGGGTAAAAAATTAGTTAAATTTTCATCTATCACTAAATGATTTTCCGGTGTTTTTGTGAATTTTCTTTCAAACTATGAGAATTAAATAATTTTGATTAAAACTCATGAATTTCTGATGTCGTTTAATTTGGTTTACGTTAAAATAAGTATGTTGTAGTCAATTTTTAACGATAAAATTACAAACGATTTTTTTAATGTTTCTGCTTTGTTGAGAACGAGTTGGAAAAATGCGTTTAAGATTAGCATAACAAGATTTCTTCTCTACTCAATAATCGTTGTACCTTTCTTGATATTTTTGAAAATCACGATGCCAAAATTAACTTCAACAAGTTTAAAATCCCCTCGCATCAAAAGAACTGAATCAGACCTATATATCAGTCTGGACACATTGGAACATTTTAAAGGGTCCAATTCTTCTTAGCCTATTTAATAGACGTTCCATTTATTTGTTATAAATACGTTGGAATATGGCTAATTTTACCAGATGTGTCTGGGGACGATTTTAAAATTAGCCAATAAAAACTGTTCGGTTGTCTATTACACAGGTGGAGAGGATAAAAAAAGGGTTAGTCGGCGTCGCACGAATTAACCGTCAAAATTATAATATTAAACCCGGGCCCGGTTCAGCTATTAAAGGAGAAATTGCTTATTTCTCAACCTGCAGAGCCACCGTGGCCGTTGCTGCTGGTGTAACACGGATAATTACCCCCAAGGCGCGTGTCTTAAATGTGACTTATAGCCCGGAGGATATTCGGAATCAACCGTGGATAATCAATCGGATAAGAAACTCGGCTAATTACGTTGCGCCATACGAAATTTGCAGTTTCCACCGTTGGGACAGTTACGCCTTAAACAAATACACGGCCGTGTTTAGATTCATTGCTACAGATTGGACGTCCAATTTAGATAAATTTGTACTCTTAAATGGCCGCATTACACCACTTCTATCTTAAAAAAATGATATATTGGCCATAAAAGTAGATATGATCTAAATTTAAAAAAAAATCAAGTATTATGTTTAAATACAGAAACAAATTATCAAACACTACAAATGATAATGCATCATCAAATCAAACAAACTACCTGTTACTATCCGAATATACAAAATATTTTATATTTCATAGACGAATAGTTTTGTTTACTGACAATAAAAACCAACAGGTTTAAAAATAAACAATCAGTTCTAAGATTTTTGCGGTTGAATTATTCTGCTGACAATATTGTACCCCCTTACACCAGATATAGGAACAGTGTGCAACAAAATCGACCATATTTTATAAAAGTGTAATAAATAATGCAACAAATCCCACTTGGTGGCATTCCAAAACTACAGACTGTTCTGAATTCCGTTCTACAATACTAGGAAATCTGCCGATTGCGCTGTTTATTGTGTACGTTGATTTGTTCCATCGGGCGTGGATATGCGAAATGGCTCGTTAATACCTCAGGTCTTGAAATACCGGAAAATGTCCCTCATTTTTCACCAGGATGAACTTTTAAGAGCTATAAGGATTTCA